TGGCTGGGGAATTCTGGGAGTTGAAGTCCACACGCCTTCAAGTGGCCAAGGTTGAGAAACATTGCTGTAGAGACTCTGATTTCAGTTCAATCCTCCTGATCTGTCCAGCTTCCTAGGATAATCCCCAAGTCTGATCTTCTTCCAGAAGTACTCTTCACTGTGGTACAGCTGTTCAAAGCTTTGTGTGTGTGTGTGTGTGTGTGTGTGTGTGTGTGTAGTGTGTGTAATAAAGAAATATATAAGATACCCATCTTGTTTCTTCCATGGTTTTATTCATTGGCAGCCCATAAACTCTTACGTTTTCTATGTTTCGGGCTTCTCAGCATCAAGGAGATTTAGCATCCGTGCATTTATAGAACGCTTTGAATCCATACAACTCCCCATATTTGAATTCAAAGTGTGCATAGGACACCACTAAATAAAAGCTAAACCAGGCTGCTCTTCCCTGTAGGAGTGGCCTCCTCAAAGATAAAATAAAGACAACCTTTCTTACACAGAAGATTAAAGTAATGAAACATATTTTTTAAAAAAATACATGAAAGATCTTAAGCAAGTTGTGGTAGGGCTGGCTCGCAGTGATAGGTCCTCGTGATGATGGAAGAGCGTCCCGCTGAAGGTCTTCACTTTCTTCTCCTCTTGGCAAGATGCTGGCCAAAGTGTCCATCCATAATGCTTGGGTGTGCCAAGAATGCCAATCGTCCTTCCCATTCTGTAGCTCTCTGTTTACCGATCTGGCCTTCCCAATCTGATAATCCAGCAGCATTTTTTCATGTTGTCTTAATAATAAGCGTCTTCATAGGCATCAATGCGTAGGCAGTAAAGGATGGCTGCTCCCAGCATAAAGATGGCAGAACCCCAACCCAGGCCGTATCCCCAGTTGAACTCATGGTAGCTTCTGAGCAGGCTACTATCAATGAACTTGATGGGGTAGAGAATCAAGGCGCAGATTTGGAGAACCACTGGATCAACAGAACAACAGGAGAAACAAATGTTATTAAAACCACTGGCCAGTTCATCCCTATTTACCCAAGCTGGGGCCTAGGGAAAGAGAAGACCTACCTGCAGCAAAGAAAAGAACCGCCACAACCCGATAATAGTACTTATAGGTCCCCAGGCAGACGGAAATCAGAGACATGAGGAATGACAGCAAAGCGATAGTGGCAGCTGTCAGAATTAGCACCAGGGTAGTGACTTGCCAGTCTGGAAAAGA